AGAGAGACTCATTTGTTGATAAAATATTTGCATCAATTTTGTCATAGAGATTCTGCCAAGACATGGAATAGTAGTTGGATCAACGAGGGTCAAATGGGTGTTCTCTACATAGACACAATAATGTAATCTCAATGTGCCCTTTTTGTAAGACTTTGCTAAACACAGCCCTGGTTTCTTACTTGTGCATTCGTGCCGTTACAGGAGTAACCTGCCTCCCCTGACGCTGGAGTCTGCGCTAGGCGGAGCAGCGGCGGGTCTCAAGCACGTGGACTACTACAAGGATGTCGGGAAGAAGACCAGCTTCGTGACCTTTAACCCCTCCGGTTACTTCGAGTAGTGAGTATTCTAGTATTTCTATAGCCTCTAACAGGCTTCAGAAGCGGCTGGAATGATTATAATTGAAACATTTCGTCAATTTCTACTATTTCCAGATGCTTCTGAAGCTTGGTAGAGGCTAGTATTTCTAGATCTGCTTGCTATCACGTGCATATAACACGATTTTACTAACTAATATTAAGACACAAACGAAACTCTAATGTGAGAAATATTTCAGAAGTTTGATTTAGTGGCCAGCTATATTTTGAAGTCGCGATATTGTACCCTCCAAGATTCATATGAAAACACAGTCGTCTTTATAGGACTTGTATAAGACATTCGCGATCTTCTGAGGTTTTCTTCAACAGTTTTGTATGTACTTCTCCTAGTCTAGGGAAGTTGGAAAATGACAAGCTTCTCCAAACCTTCAAGGAGTACATGGACCAGTTCGGAAATGCGATAGCCTGGACACACATGTTCCATTACCAGTCAAAGGTAACGCATCACACACAAAAAGTTACTCTATTGACACTTTGACAAAACCGAAACCGTCAACAAGTAACTATCTCAGCGTGTATAGTAAAAGGTAAAGGTAATTCCATAGTTACGGGGGAGACAACGTGAAGAGGTGAGCAATCACCTGTTTTGTCTTCCCCTCCATTTTGTTATGGAAAAGCCAAATAAAGAAATAAAGAATTAGTAAAGGCAGTGGATATAGGTCGTTAATCCACTAGGGTACGACTTTCACTGTCACTTCTGTACCGTGAACTTACCATTACCGTTATCAGACCATTTGTCTCTTGCCCCTCCCCCCCTTCCTACCACCGTTAACAGGTCCATTTTCCTCAGACCGTGAAATTGTACTTTTGCAATACAACATAAAAAGAAAGTCTATACACACTGTTTTATTCACTGTTAGAAAATAGTTTCATCAGGTTGGTAGAGTATAGGATATATAGGGGTTTTCTTTTACACAATTAATATTGTCTCTTACCAGTCAGAAGCTCTGAGGAAGGTGTCTGATAGACACCGATCGTAAGCAAGGTACGAGACAATGTTGGTTGTGTAAAAGAAAATCCCTATATCATGTTTTACACACTGTTTCTTCTTGTTCCATCATGAACACAGGCCAAACCAGCTTTAGAGATCATCAGACTGAGCCAGGCCCTGAGGTTCAAGACAACCATCGTGTCTTCTCACGCCAAGTTCTTACAAGGCGTCAACGATTTCTGGAAGAGACGAGGACTGACTGGCTTCAGGGCCACGAGCGGTAAGTTGTCTGAATAAATTCTTCTATGGATATTTAGGGGTTTCTATAAGCACTACACCCGAACAAGTAATATCTCAAGTAAACCTGCTTACGTTTCGATGACTGTCAGACATCTTCTTCAGAGCTCCTGACTGGACTACGATACAAGGTATAAGATACAATGTATTGAATCTAATCTTAAACTGTATTGAATTGAGAACTTAATTGTACATACATATCCACTGCAGGTCAAAACAAAGGGATAGCTTGTATATTCTGGGGCACATGTATACACCACATACATACACATCAAACTAGTAGTTACTATAGTATTTTGATATATTAGAAAGTTGCAGCAACACTGTAACATGGAAAAATATATATTCAGTCTTCTCATTGTTATGTTCTCCCTAGGCCTTGTCATGACTGCGCTCTCCTAAGCCCTGTGTAAGGAAACCCACCCGTACGGGTACTGGCCATTCCCTTAGTGCTGAAATAGCATGAAAGCAAGTTACAGCAACACTGTAACATGAAAGATATATTCATTTTCTCATTGCTATGCTCTCTCCCTAGGCCTGGTCCTGACTGCAGTGTCCCTGGCCCTGTGTAAGGAAACCCACCCGTACGGGTACTGGCCCTTCCCTTAGTGCTGAAATAGCATGAAAGCAAGTTACAGCAACACTGTAACATGAATGATATATTCCTTTTCTCATTGCTATCTTCTCTCCCTAGGCCTGGTCCTGACTGCAGTGTCCCTGGCCCTGTGTAAGGAGACCCACCCGTACGGGTATTGGCCATTCCCTTAGTGATGAAACTGAGCATAAAAGCAAGTTACAGCAACACTGTAACATCGTCATGAACGATATATTCATTTTCTCATTGCTATGTTCTCTCCCTAGGCCTTGTCCTGACTGCTGTCTCCTTGGCCCTGTGTAAGGAGACGAATCTCTACGGGTACTGGCCCTTCCCTGTGGACTATGAGGGCAGGGAAGTCAACTATCACTACTACCAGTACGACGCCGAGCACAAGCAGAACAACACCGTCCACAAGCTACCGGAGGAGTTCAAAATATCACTAAAACTTCACAGAAGCGGTGTTCTAAAGCTCCACATAGGAGAGTGTGGGGGAAATCACTAGGACTGCTACCATGTAACGTTGCGGTTTGTATCTTGAAAGGTATAAAATCAACTGGTACACACAGAACAACACCTTCCACAGGCTACAGAAGGAGTTCAAAATATTCCAAAACTTCACAGAAGCGGTGTTATAAAACTGCACAAAAATCACTAGGGATGTGACTATGTAACGTTGTAGAACGCTAGTATATAACAAGAATTCTGAAACTTCATACTTCTATGAAATATGTAGAGTTTATGTAAACGATTTTTGGGGGGATTTGTCTCATTGATTATGGAAATAAGGTCGTGATTAACATAATCTAGTTTAATGTATGGTTTTCTAAACTCAAATTACAATATTTTATGTGTGTCATTCGTATCCTTTCGTATTCGTGTCCTCATTAATTATGTCACCAAAAATCAAGACCATAATATGTTCAGAATAAAAGATACAAAAACCGGAAGTTCTTCTGCAGTACCAAGGTCAGCCACCAGGAGGCCCATATTTGATCCTTGTCTTCCTACAACCTACCAACATACCAAATATCATCACAAACCATAAAAGCGTTCTTAAGTTATGCTGACTACAAATGTACGGAAACACAGACACACATAGAGACAGACATGTCAAAAACAATACCTCAGTCCATTTTTCACGGAGGTACGAGCTATCCAAGTGTTAGAAATCCTACTAAACACCGCCTACTCATATAACAACATATTATGTGCGGCAGAATCATCATGTTGATGTTGGCCACCTAATCAAAAAGAAAAGAAAGAAGTAGAGGTCGCTATACGTTTTGTAACCAATGTAGTTGTTCAGTAGTAAAGTTACAGCGATCAAGTTATCATTAGTAACGAAGGCGCCAAGTGTTAAGCCGAAGGGTGGTTATACTGGCTATACCAATACAGATACAAAATGGAGTCGTTCAATGTTAATCTAGAAATAAACAGAACCCAGTATCCCGGATGTACCTAGGGGGTACCATCAGCCTTAAACACACAACTCACGTCCGCAATGACAAGTCAGGAGGCTATCAACCAATGGCGTCGTCTCTTTCTTTTGCCTCAAGGTTCTTAATGCCGTCATGACCTTAGACGAAAAGGCGTTTCCAACTGGAACGTATCCTGGCTAGGCACAGCTACCATAGTATATTAAGTGTTATCTGCCACGTAGTACATACAAGGCGTTCTAAGAGGACTCTACAGGAATTGTGGGCGAGGAAGTCTATGACGACTGAAAGAGACAGGATGGGCAAGAACGACAAGCAGCGCCAGCAACCGTTCCGTCCAGTCAAGATGTTTTTCAGGATGATCAAACTGGCGACGAGACCGATTTGGGACAACATGTACATGTACGTTTAGCCTTTTTTTCACACATCTGAACTTTTTATTCACAGCTATTCTTTTAGATGTGCGTGAGTGTGTTTGGGTAGGACGCTACTTAGTTCTAAGTAACAAAATGTATCATTTTGTTTCATATGTTTATAAAGTTTTGATTGAATATCTAGTACGTCATGAGTATCCGTGACATACATGTATACCGACACAAGAGGCCCTTTCAGTAGTCGACCAGTCGGATGGGTAAGATTTTACAGACAAATACACACGTTTACTGACATGTCACAAGTGCAAATCCGCTGACTGACTGTTCATAGAATCCCTTAGTTCAATGTAATCTCTATGAAATGAAAGCTATGAATGACATGAAATGTTTGTCACTAAATGAAAACCCCGATGGCCTGTGGCGCAGAATGACTAAGTGGTCAGACTGAGGACACAAGATCGGCAGGTCATGGACAGACATGGGTTCGATTCCTCACATTCCTGACAATACACTGTCCCTGGGAAAGACATCTGTACAGATTTTCCAACACTAGGTGTAGAATGGTTACCCGACTTCGGATGTGGGGTCGTGTGGCGTAACGGCGGATTGCTCGACTCGGAACCAAGAGGTCCCGGGTTCGAGTCCTGACATGCCACCGATTTTGTGCCCTTGGGAAAGGTACTTAACACGACTTTCCTCACTTAACTCAAGTGAAAATGAGTATTGACTGTCCTGTATTTGTTCTATGTGTGGGACACAACACCAGCAACAGCTGCCTTTATTCCACGTGTTACAATCTCAATAAATAAATAAATAAGCTCACTGCCTCTATGGTCTAAAAACCTTTATCTGGCCCTGACCTGCACTGGGCCACCATCTACACTGAAAACATGTCATTATTTCTTTAACACAGAATCCGACCGACCAGCGTAGCAACCATCATCATCGTCATCGTCATTCTCTACATATTTGTGTTTTAGAGGATATCACAGGGGCAAATAAGGTAAGCTAGTACGTTGATGAAGGTTAGACATTCAGGTAAACAATATCCAAAGACAAATAAAACTTTACTATCGGATAAATTACGGAGATACTTCCGGACGTTTATAGAAATTTATACGCTAGAAGAGTTTGGCTTGTCTTTGAATAAGCTAAGATAGCGTCGCTTTTTAAAGATTCCATGATGTACGGTGTTATAGTTAACTATGAAAACTGCAAGAAACTGTTAAAATAAAAGTGGGATAGATCAAAGGAATATGCCATCATTTGAAGAAATTCTGAGATTTGGCGAAAAAACCATCCCTATTCATATGGACAGTCAACCCTGCCAAAGTGACCATGGTCAAAGTAGTCATGTCTATAGCTAATATATATATATAGATAGAATGTTTAATGCTTAGGTCAATGGGAAAGTAATCAAGGGGACATCAAAATCATGCCCATAATGATCAGGGGATCCTTATTCACAGGTGGTCACTAATATACACGTAGGTTTGGCTGTATTATGGAAGTACCCATTTACTCACAATGTTCTGTGTATGTGATTACAGATAGAACAGCGCCATGCAGTATCTGGCTGGGTGTCACGAGTACATGGGCGGCTCCATAAGAACGACGTACGTCAAGAAACGGCGAAAAAAAAACTGAGGAGTGAAACGTGCACGAAAGAACTCATGGCATTCCAGCCTCTATGATGCTGTACATTAGACGCTTTTAACAAAAAGAATTTTATTATGTTCATATGGAAATGCCACGATACAAGTCCTATGCTAAACGAATGTTGCTAAGTAATGCGTAAAAGATTGTTATTTATTTGTCAGGAAAGACATATGACCATGAAATATGGCTAGAAGTGTACTGTTGTTTAATGCTACTGTCGTTTTATGCTACTTATTGTCATATACTTACCATTATAGAAGACAGAAAACTGGACATCCAGTCAAAAAAATTTAGGGACATTTGATTCTTAAAATGTCTTCCCAGCGTATGCAAATATGTCTAAAGAAATGCGTTTAGGAGATTGTTTACATATCTTCCATTAATTCTACTGTTTACGGGTCACTTCACTAGTAAACCGGTTTTGCAGCTTGTAATGTTGGAGCAAAGATGGCGACAGAATCGCAGCATTAGTTATGCAGCGCCTCACGGCGGTTAAACTGCAGAACTGCACGTAAATTATATTTTGTATTAAATGCCAAGTTACGCCACACTGACTTGATTTTATGAAATACACCGTTATCACTGTTCGATGTCTTTTTGTTTCACAAAGTAGGACGGAAATATGGATGCGGTAGCTGGTCAGAACATGAGAATTCACAGGAGCGTACACTCTACCAATTTGTAAAATGCGAAGGAAATGTGTCATATTTACAACTTAATATCACAGTTTTTTCTTTGTAAAATGCCTTAAACATTGTAATTCTTGATTATTCTTAATTCTTTATGTATTTTAAAACCATACGGAACTAAGAAGGAACCGATGACCTCCTCGAAGGAACCAAGGAGGAGATAACATTCTTGAAGGAACTTAAATTAATGAAGTGGCTTTACAGGTTCTACAACTGTATTAAAGCGGATTCACGTGACTTGCAAACGACAAAGCAAGCTGACATCAGCAACCGTCTTCAGCCGCAGATTCGCCATTTTGTTTCCGAACTCTCAGACCGAACCCAGATCTTTCTAGACTTTTAGTAAGAACAGCAGTTTGTTCAGACATGGGAAAACAACCAGACTGGGACAACATCGAGGACTGGAGCGCCCGTGACAGAGCCAAGCCGAGGTTTCTGAAAGACTGGCGGGAAAAATTTTCGGACGTGGTCCACTGTGTCTGGGACCCCCTCTTGGGAAACATGTAAGTGTTGGGGCCAAAATTCTAGACCTTTTTCACCATTTTATTTCATACGTTAAGTACACCATTCTCGCTCTGTGCAGTTATATTGTTACAACCCATAGGACACGGCATGGTTTGGCCCAATGAGTTTCTTAAATACTTTGTTTTTGACATGGTGTTAGACGAGTCGTTTAGACAATTACGGCGTCTTTTTGTCCTGGAATATGCGGAAAAATCTTTGAGAAAACCTTTCTTAAACTTTCCTAAGAACACGGGCACTTTTGGTGTCTAGAAAATACACGACCGGTGTGCTTTAGCTATAGGTAGAAATCTTGTCAGCAAAAAAATGAAACCGTTCATAAAATACATATGGGCGGCTATTGTTCTTACGTGTAGGCATTGTTAGGCCATGGAGGTACAATTGTTAGGCGTTTCCCTACGTAACCATGCCATTCAAACGAAGAATAATGCCAATCACACCCACCTATCTGTTGTCATAGAAAAAGTACAGACAAAGCAAACAATATTCTACACCCCATTTTCTCATTCATTTGGACCATTGAATCTCTATAGATATCTTAAACCAAGTACTATCGTACAAGTCGTAGTGTTTTCAGAGAGCTACCCAATTGATTGATTGAATAGTTTGTTGATTGTGATGAACGTGTTGCAGGATCGGACCAGCCAGTGTTGTGCTTGCCCTGACCATCATAGTCATCGTGTCTGTTGCTGCCTAGGAAGATCCAGTTTGTCCTGGTAAGTTGTTTACTAGATATTGACGAAATTCGTCAGGAACTAGGTCACAGCAACAGCGATAACTACAATGTACCAGTATGCGGAGTCAGTCTACAAGTGGTCGAACCGCCACACGGTTCAGTGCGCACGGTAACTTGTCTTAAGGCCTGTAAACACAGATCTCTGTCGTTTCTTTGAAGATATCTGATAACACTTCTCTACAAGATTACGGCAAAATGATTCAGTATTAATTAGTATGGTATAAATGTGATATTTCTGCCTTCAAACACATTGTAGGGGGTATTTTCTCTGAAGACTGACCCCTATCATTAGCTTCAAAACTACAGCTTTGTTCTCTTTAATAACTGGGTTATTACAATCATCTCTACAAGAACACTGTCTACTCGCGACCAACAACTCTTTAGGAAAAATTCTTTAAGAGTTAGGGATGCAATTTTGCCATTTATGTATCTAGTCTTCTAATGTACATGTCCACCTGCCTTCCCACAGTGCACCGCGCGGCCATTGGCGACTCATGATGACGTCATTTCGTCGGTTCAACTTTCTTCGTCGGAGAAGACATCTACAACCTGCACTGCGTGAAATTTGAGCCTTATTCACGACTTAAAGCATGCGTAAATTTTCTGTTTCTTCACTCGATGGAGAAACGGAACCTTTACGGATGTTTAAAATTAAATCTTTAAGCATACATTAAAATTTATTGTATGCTTAAAGATCAGATTTTTTACTCGATTGGAAATATGGAACCTTTACGCATGTTTTCAATCAAATCTTTAAGCATATATTAAAATTTAATGTATGCTTAAAGATACATTTTTTGCAGTGATGTTCATTGGCCAGTTGAATCACATGGACTCCTCACTTACAATCTTTTTAACTTAGAACGACTTAATATTTAACATGTACCAACAATCGTCTCCACATATTGTTTTATCTCGAAAATGTTTTTGTACCTAAATACTTTCGTAACCTATTTACATGTACTACCCAAAATGGTGTAGGAACCTTAGTTATATATTCGTCCTGTATCGTTTGTAAGGTAGCTCTGACGTATAATGATAGTCTGGGTGTAGGATATACTGTACTGTGACATCGTGGAAACAGCCCAGGAAATTCTTACCTGTCATTAGATATAGCTTTTCTTGCATGCAACGTTTGTTTTGCTGTTAATACGAATCATATGAAATTTTTTCTCGGGTTAAAGCAGTTGTTAATCGCAATACTTAAACATTGGTGGTTGTGCCTTAATAAATTGTTCACTGATAATGTGTGGCGAAAATCATTCCTGGTTTAAAATGCTAGAATCTTTAGCTGTCATTTCCCCAAAGCTAAGAATGATGAAGCTATCATGAAAGCTCATCTGTGTTGGTAGTGACATGTTTAAAGTTAAAACTTGAGATCCAACACAAAAATTCTCTCACCCAGAGCTTTCGACCAGTCACTCTGGTCTTCCTCAGTAGACTGACCCAGTGAAGATTGTCACGTGGCTTCTTTGAAGTGTGACGTCAACACTGGGTCAACACAATAATGAAGCTAGGTACACACGTTCACGGGTGAGGAAATAGGTGAAAAGGGCCTTTCCCAAGGATACAACAGCGGGGCCTGCCAGGGATTCGAACACAGAACCTTCAGAGTCAACAACACAAACCACCTAACCACCTATCTATAAGAATACAGAACAAGACATGGAAATTCTACATTGATTTATAATATTATGATATATATGAAAAGTGTCAGAAAGTGGTGTAGAAAGAAAATATTCGGAGAGCCAGATATGACGCGCAAATCACGATATTACTGGTAATGCTTTCATTGTCTTCTCATTTTGCCCACCAGAAGTAGTAGAAATTTCATCATCAGTTTTACTCTGTTAATTAAGCACCATTAAATTAATTACCTTGAATATGGATATATCTGTACATTATAATGTTCTAATACTTCATTGATGCACGTATTTCATCGCTTAGGGGAATGTATGGTTGCTTTTCACGTGTTTTCCTATTTAGAACTCTCAACAAGAATCTAAGCAACTTTCTTTTAACAGTTTAAAGACAATTTTTTAAATATCAGTGCAAGCTAATTGTCCCTGGTTCCACTAAAATATCAATATTCTAACAGCAACAATCTCTATAATGTTATAGTAAAACATTATGTGATGACACATTCCTTTATCCCTAACTACTCTGAGACTCATCAAGGAAAGAACAAAGAAGAGGTACGTCCGGGAATGTTCCTATAAGCCCAAACAACAAAGATATTAACGTATATGCTTTAAAATTTACGAAATGATAGTTATGAATTTTGAAGGCTCTAGGACTAACATTAGCTCAATTATACGATGATATTATCCATCTTTTTCATGCAAGATTTTCGCGACGCCTCAGGGGGTTTGGGGGGGTTCCAACACTTCTAGATTTTGGTTCAACCATACTATAACCAATTTGGTTGCCCCTCCCTTTCTTTAATCACTTTCTTTTTCTCCCTATCACGGGGTTATAGCGTTGGGTATCTTCTCGGGAAGCAGGTAGGTGTACGGGTGTTTGAGCGTGAGGTTGCGTTCTCGCGAGATCTCGGAGATCCGCTGCAGGTTGAGCTGCAGGTCGGCGATGACCTCCTGCGCCTCCTCCTCCGTCAGACGGCGTTCTGGGAAGTTGCCGAGCGTCACCTGGCGGCAGGAAGAGGAATTACACAACAGTAATTAGCACTTTTTAAATGTATCAAGTTGAATCAATCCTATCCCATAGCATACTGATATCTGTGAGGCAAAAAAATTGTTGCTGACGGAAAACTCCCTTGTTTCCTAGCCTGGTTCTATCTTAAGCAACTCGTCGTGTAGTTTTTTTTTGGGGG